CTTGTCCCAGAAAGGTGGGTGCTTAATGCCTTCAGGGATGGCAGCGAGTGCCCTGCGGGAGGTTCATGTCCTCTGGCAAAGGGGACTGCCTGGCATCTGCGCCTGACAGCCAGGGGGTGCATGGGGCGGCAGGGGTGTGTTCTGGCCCTCTCCCTCGCTGCCGCCCTACCCCTCGGGCCCCAGAGTGACCCCTTGGCCTTCCGTGGACATTGTTCTGCCTTGCTTGGAGGTTTCTTTCAAGATTGGAAAAAGGACAGTCTCGCAGCTGGACTGAAGAAGGAGCCCCAGTGGGGCAGCAGGGGCTAATTCCCTGTGGAGTGGCCCGGGGGGAGGTTTCCTGGTGGGGGGGTGCGGGAATTTGCCCCCTTTGCATGCATGGATTGCAGTTCAAAGCAGTAGGGTTTGGTTGCCTTTGGGGAGTTCTAGAACGGCCTGTCAGTCGGCAAAGGCTTTTGGGGGACGTTGGCGAGAATTGCTTATTGGTTAGGAGGAATTTGGGCAGAATTTGCGGTAGCAAGTTCAGTGAGTCGCTGTGGGGTTATTTGGAACAGGCACCAAGCGATAATCCCAGGTGACTCAGGTGGCGGCACGTTGCTTTAAGAAGCAAGCCTTGTGGCGTGGATCTAGTTGCTGAATACGGTGACCTTTTTGTTTCATTCTGCAGTACGGTGAAGCGCTTGATCGGGGATAGGCTAACAGGGCCTGGCAGTCCTGGTCCAGAAGCACATGGTCTGGGAGGAAAGGCCGTCCTCTACCTGTCATGATGGAAATGCTATGCCACCTCCCCCCTCCCTTAATGTTGCCTGTGCAAAGAAGTGCTTTTACTTTTATACAGAGTTTGCATTCATATAGTGGTATTACGTAGGTATTTCCTGGGTCACACTATTGTCACTACTTTGTCTCTCTGCACAGAGAAGAAAGGAGCAGGGATCACTGGAAGCTTAAGCGTGTTCGTGCTTTTCGTGGGAAGGGGAGAACCAGTGCATACCTCCTGGGTGTATTCTGAAATAACATGGGGACAGGCCCACATACTCTATAGAAGGGCACAGTCAGGACTAAGCCTTCTGATCTTACGACTGTGCGCACCTCCCACTGCTGTCGCAGCATGTGTTTCAGGGCATGGGAGTGTGTTGGTGAAGGAGGCATATTGCATCCAGATTATACCTGATAAAGAACATAGCTTGAGACACGCGGCCTGTGCATTCGGTGGACGTGAGATTCTTGTGCAGAAATGACCTTCTCAGTTGGCGTTACAAAGGTGAATTTTTATACGCCGTTCCATGTTTCCTAATAAGAATCTTTGTCACTGTTAGTGTTACATTATGCAGGATCCCAGGGCAGAGGCATCTTTCTGAATACAAATGTACCTTTGCAGGGTGTGGAAGAAAGTCTTCTGAACAGCTGAGGCACAACTCTTCCATGGCATGTTGCACTTAATTTAACAAAGGTTAAGGATATTTAAGGATGTCTTACAATGTCCTAGATGTATATCATCATTTCCTTGCTGTGTTCTTGTTCTTCAGCAAATTACGTGAGGGTTTTTTTTTTTTTTTTAGTCTGTTAAATTTAAATTCCTCTAGAAAGAAATCATGCTACTTGTGTGTTGTCTGTTGGGAGAATTTTAACAGCACCAAAATGTTATTTTATGTTGAGAGAAAATGTTGGGAGTGGTTTCATAATGATATTTAAAGTTGGTCCATACTCTATTCAGTGGTGATGATTGGAGAGTTTCAAGGCAGCTTATACTTTTTGTGTAATTTATGTATTTTATTTTCAGTTTTTAAAGACATATCTGAACATTTCTGCAGGGTTCATCCTGAGATTTTCCCTTAGTTTATAAACAGCGCATTTACCCATCCAGTCTCCAACCAGTAGACTATTTCTCTGTATTGTCATCAGGACATCTTGATGGCATCTTGTCCTTAGATTTTTCTCTTGTCCATATAACTATTCAAATAAAAGCAGAGAAAACCATAATTTTCCTGGGATGTTTTGTTATTAGATGCTGTTTAAATGGGTTTCAAAGTACCCTTTTCTTTTAGTGTGGTCCATTTTTTTTTTTAATCCCATAGCAGCCTGGTGACATGCTAAACTGAGCCATAATGTGCTTGTTTATTTTTGGCTTAACACAATATAGGAACCCAGCCATTATGACTTCACAGGTGTGAGAACCTGGCTACTATGGTTTGTTCATTTAACAGTGGTTAAATCTTTCTGGCTTAGCATGATTTGTGAATGCAATAGATGTCTGGGTTTGTACATAACTGGTAAGGTGAAACCTTGCAACTTCAGGGGATGAAAAGAGGGACGATGGAATTTACTCATACTGTAGTTAGGCTACATCTGAATATGATGCTGATGAGGGAAGTAACTTGGAGCTAAGATAGGTTTATTTGTCAGTTAAACTCTTGTGAATACAGATGTAGCTAGAAAGACGGCAGATCATGGTAACAATAATTCTGCTAAATTACTATTTTTGGCTGAAAGTGGGTCCACTCACATAATTTCTCTTTCTGGCAAGCCTTGTGTTGACATTTACATTACACAATGATCAGTAAAATTATGAACTGAAAGCTTGCTAGAGAGTTTTTTAACTAACCTGAATCAATAGAGATTGGGAATAAAATAAACTTTGTTGAATAATGGGTTACCCTTCAGGATAATGTAATAAAATTGTGGAACACACCCTTTAAACAGTTCTGAGCATAAAAAAGCAATAAATGCAAGGCTAGATTTACACATTGAATTAAGCCACAGTTTGCTGAATAAGCCACAGTAGCAGAGTTCACATGACACTTTACACTAAGTTACACTTTCTTATGTGATACTTTTTGTATGGACTGACTGACTGACAGTAGGTCTCCCAGACTTTTAGCATAGATTTTGTGTTGTTACCTGCGATCTTGTTTTAACAAGGTGCCAGAAACAGGCTTTGATAGCATGTACATCATATATCAAAATGATTTCCTACTTAATGATAATTATTTCAACTTGATCAGTAATTGTCAAAAGTTCTCGTGTTGTTTTGAGACTGCAATTTCTCTAGTTAACTCAAGTAAGTGTATTTTTTTCCCCATAGTTACAGTCAAAAGAGACTTGGTTTCTATAACATATTAAGCTATGGTTTGCTTAGCTTTAGTTAATTGAATAGACCTTAAGGGCCTGGGTTTGTACAACAGGTTAAGCCTAAATGAGACCACATTATGGCTTAGTTTGATGTGTGATAAGAAGCTAAACAGCCGTTAAAATAGATCTTCTTCATACAGCTAAAAAGAATACAGTTGTTAGGGTCCTGCGCTATCATGTTTAATGTTAAAAGCTCATATCTGTTTGTATCCGTTATAAAGCACTTACATGCAGTGAGTATTACTGTAAACAAAGTGATGTCTGGTTTTTTTCCCCCAGAACTACAAAGGCTTTTCAACAGTGTTCAGTGTTCATGGTTCTTCCATTTGATTCTTGCATAATTGTCTAATCTCAGTTTTATGTTCCGAGGTGTTATAGATTAAATGTGCGGGGGGGGGGAGAGCAGTGTTAATTGACTTAACACATGCAGAAACTTGTAAAAATTAATTATAAATAGAGGACTTGGTTAACAGCACTTACATTTTATACAGTTCAGTGAAGAAATTAATAAAGATTTCACTTTACAATAGTTAATTATTTAAGAGAATCTCCAATCAATATAGAAATAATAACCTTTAAAAAAAAAAAAACCTTCAGGTTATTTATGTATGTGCAACTTCCCGGATGATTTCTGCCATTGTTATGGCTCTCTTTAGATGCATGCAATAAGTCCAGTATTAGAGAGTGTGTATCCACGTTGCAGCCGGTGGACCATTTCTTGCCTTAGAACTTGTATTTTAGTTTTTGGCACCAAAGCAGCAGAGGAATAAAAATCTTGAAAATGGAAATGGCAGTTGAAACAAAGTGTGCACCTCCATATGCTCCAGAAGC